AAATATTAATAAATTTTATCAATTAAAGAATTTTTTATCTCATTTTTATTTATCGCACAGAAAAATTTCAAATATCGGCTGCAACAGCGTGATATTAGTCACTTTCTCGCGTATTCTTACAGAACTATAAGTAGCCTCGGTTTCGAAGTCGTCATATTTCAGGATTTAATCCCACGGAAAATATATTAACGGTGCAACGTCAAGCGATAAATCAGGCAATAAAGGAAAACTCGACGAGGCAAAGAGGTCGGATAAAAAGAAAATAACAGAGCAGAGAAAGTGATCTTCATTATTTCTAAAAGCACTCCAGAGGCACGGCTGGGAACCACTAAGGGTGCCGTGTATAATGTATATACGCGGGTCACCCCTTGTAGGCGTCGCGGAAGGGGTGACTCGAGCGAAAAATACTCGGCCAATATTTCTAATATTCCCGCCCCGATTCAGCTGGCACGGGGTTGGCGGCGGGATTCACTTTGCGCCCGGAGAGCGAAAGAAAGAAAACGAGTGCGGCGAATCGACGTAGACGGCGACCGAAGCCGGAAAGTTTTGCATGAAATTAACGTAGGAAAAATTACTGCTATTACCGGCGGTCCCGCACGTGCAACGGCGAGTTAGGACAAGTAGGAGCAAGATCGTGGCGGCGGTCGTGAGAAGTAAGGCTGGCCGGGCTATAATTATAAGTGCGGCCGTGACTAATTCAATTTTCCCCATCTGCTCGCGATTTGCAGCCGGAATAACTGCGGGGAACGAGATCGTGCTACGGCGACGCGCTGGATAATAGCCGCAGGAAGTGTCGTCTGGTGCAGTAAGGCGCGATAGGTAAGAGAAAAGACGAAGGATGGTTAGAGGCGCCTTCCACCGCGCAGGAGTAACACAGTCGGTTGGGTAAATAAGTCCCGTTTAAATGTAATATCCCGTTGAATTGTGCCTCGGGGCTGCCGTTGCCGCCGTCGCCACCGACGCCATCCCCGAAATCCGATACGCACACATTTGGCAGGTCGATACAGCGCCAGTTACTTAACGTTTACTAACTATTCAATACGCATCTATCTCTCTCTCTCTCTCTCTCTCAAATTTCCGGACCATCAGAAATTTCGACGGACGAGATAGTTTCAAGTCGCGCCGTGAAGCTTCGTATCGCGCTCTCCGCGGCGATAAAGAAACAAGCTTTATTTGTAGATCTTATGTGTCTCTTCTATGTTCGTCACTCGTCTATTACTTCATTCCCGCGGTTCTCTCGCCTCTAACATCGCCCGATGTTGCCCGTACCTCGTACATATTCCGCGGCAACGCGAAGCCGCAAACTACGATGAAGGAAATTATTTTATTTCGCACTTCAGAATATCACCCCGTGGATTCATTCATATTCATGCCCGCGCCTGAGCACTTCGTCTCCAAAATGTGCCGTGCCTGTGGTCGTGCTGGTTAGTTTAAGATTCAAGCACGGTCTTCTTATAGTCGGCCTAACTCCGTCCCTTATTCCCTTATCGCTTTTGATTTTGCCCCTTAACGAGGACAAATATTACTTGCAATACGGTGCGCCCCGCAAAGCTACGGATGTTCTCTAATGTTCTCAAATTATAAAAAAATATGCAAAATTTCACATCAAAGATCAAGTATTAATGCTAATTGGCAGAGATCCCTGTACAATCCCTATAAAATCATTATGGTGACCGTAGGAATTGTCTATTTCCTTTGTTTATTCCGCGGTTTATTCGCTGGCTCGTCATTCGCTTGCACATCAACTAGACGACAATCGCTTCATTCCCGCAAATTACAGCCGGATCTTATTCAGCTCTTATTCGGAATACGAGGTCTAGTTACGGATCTGATTGTCTCGCGACGAGTAAACTCTCTCCAAATAATGCCATCTCCTTGGTTTATCTAAACAACCCTCAACTTCCCACATTGCCCGCTTAACGCAAGCGACTCTCGGTTGATTAGGGTGCAAACGAACCGTAAGCATTAAATTATTCATCGTGCGTCCCACAGTCGAGACGGTTAATTAACAATCTAGCTGGTACTCGATTAATTTACGTTATTATTAATGCGATATGATTAAAACTTTTTTGGGTTGCGCGCATTGTGTAAAGCAAACTCACTTCACCTCGGTTGGAATCCGATAATGGTAACTACACAAAGTTATTTTAGTTTCTACCCTCATTATTATACACGTGTTGCATCAAAATATTAAATTCTGATGATCTGCTATAATGTTATGTCGACAAAAATCAAATCAGCGTCCAAACAGACATGATGCGCTTTATCTTTTGCAAATAATTTGGCATGTAGGTATCTTAATTCAAACTTTTATTCAAATTTTAGATGTACGCAAATTCTCTTTGTGCATGCGTACACATATAATACTTTATTGCTACCATCACAATTGCAGTGCAAAGAAATACCCACATTAAAAATCTCGCGAGAAATCTACACAGGCGAAACGTCGCAAATCGAGTTGCGAAGAAACGCTGGGTTCCGCCCGAGGCGCAAGGGTTGTCGTTCCTTTTCCCTGGGAATTGGTCAGATCGTAAGATTTCCCGAGTGCCCATGTTACCGATTAGTCTCGGCGCGCACGACGACGAGATCGCGTTTCGGACGGAGGGAGAATTCCCTTCGTCGGAGAAACAGGTGGAACGGGAAATCGGACGGGAAGGAAGGAAGGAAGGAAGCAAGAGAGGGGGGGGAAGAGAGAGAGAGAGAGAGAGAGAGAGAGAGAGAGAGAGAGAGAGAGAGAGAGAGAGAGAGAGAGAGAGAGAGAGAGAGAGAGAGAGAGGAAGGAAGGAAACGTCGAACGCGCGCGTACGAGCGTAGCGATAGACTTCTCTCTAGGAGCAAGAGGAACCACGGGGGTTAGCGGGAGATGAGGGAGAAAAGCGGGGTGGCAAGTCGAGCGGCAGCGCGTCACCATTGTGACGAATGATTCGCGCGTGTTCCGTCGAACAGCGTCGTTGCGACCGGCGCGCGTCTCGACGCGCGCGATGCCGGTGCCTTCCGTCCCGACGCGGAAGCCACCGGCGGCACACGGGCATTCGGGAATCACGGGTGTGGGCGATATCGATCGGCGTGGAACGGGCAAATAGAAGGGGACGTGGAACAGGGGCGGAGGGAAGGGGACGGCACTTAGAGAGCCATTGCATACCGAAACTTCCCCGCTTCGCAGGAAGGTTTTCGTCGCGGATTTTCGCGAACAAAAAGGCAAACTCGGATCCTGACGAGAAAGACGAGGACGCGGAGAATCGGAGGACCGGAGAAGGGCGATAGCGGACGGAAATGGTGGGCAGAGGCGCGGGGGGGGGGGGGGAGGGAGAGGGAGTAGATGAGAGGGCGGATGAGCTGGAGCTGGCGAGATTTCATCCGGCTTTTGTGACGCGGCTGATATATTTTTATCTGACGTCGGGATTCGACGACTGCTCGAACCGCTCCTGGTCGGGTGCTCGTCTGATATCGACCGATAAGACATATGCAAATGGTTATTAAACTATGCCGAGCGAAAGCGGGACGTTCGTTTCGATTCGCGAAATTCTGGTGGGATTTGACGCAGCTAGTCATAAGGGCTTGGCTATTGAAAATTCAGGCTTGTCGGTGCGCTGATCGTATATGTAGGGCATTGGCATGAGATACGCGAAAAAGTGTCACGTTGCAGCCACGATATTAAAAAGTCACGCTACAGGCAAAAAATGGAGTTAAATTTTTTATAGCCTTTATGTAGCTTTTATTCTTGTTAATTCAATATTTAGATTATATTATGCAACACTGAAGCATACTCGTCTACTTTTTTAATAAATAACGAGAAATACGACGATGGTAAGCTGCTTCTTGCATTTCCATTAATCAAATTACATTCTCGCGAACATGAAACTATTGATGTCTAGTTTTTTTTTTTGTTTTGTTGTTATTTTATCAATATTTGTTTTCTAAATAAATTGAAAAATCAATTTTAAAGCGCAAGCAAAAAATAAATAAAATAAAACTAAAGTAACAAATGGCATTATGTAATACAATATGTTGCATCAAGTTTATATGTTTTAAATCATGATATAGGCAGCGGTCAAATACTTCGAAATTGCTTTGTATAAAAGTGTAATTCAAAAAGTCACGTTCCACACACACGATAACAGATAATTCGATAACACGAAAATCTTGCACTAAGCGAGTATATTGCTCTTTAAATTGCGACGATGACTAAATTGCTCATAAAATTAAAACGACTATACCGCAGATATCGCTTTTTATTACTCTGCCACCGTTTCACGCCATCCATCGACCAATACACTTGTTAGCTGCATTATGCAGCTAGCAATTCGGCAAAAATCGAACTTATTGGCGTTCACTATTTCTCGTAACAATAAATATTGTATATGATATCAAAAAAATATTGCGTGGTATAAAAAAATCCATTGCTATGCAAGAGAACAACGCGCTTATTTTCAATAGAGATTATACATATAAAACAATCCGCGCTCAATACGGCGATAAGCTCGCAGCGGGTTTATCGTCGCTGTGTAATATCGAAAAGAGCTTGAGGTCGATGCGCTATGGCGCAAGAATCGAATCGCGGCGGAGGGAGACGGAGGAAGGGGGTACAAGTTATTTTACAAGTGCAAGCGGATATGCTGAGGCGTGAAACGGTCCATTTCATGAGGTGCTCGCGATTCTGTACTATATGTACATATACATGTACGACATGGACATATACATATACATATGCATACATATATATATATATATATATATATATATATGTATATACATACGCGCACGCGTGCATATGCAATCGTTAACGTAACACGAGAGCGCTCCGGTGTTTCGTAGTTTATTTTGGCCTTTAACGCAAACAACAAGGACGATAATGCTCGGTCCCGGTTGACACTCGCAACACGCAGTCACGCGAGTCCGATTTTGGACATCGAGTGCATTCCCGCAACATCCCGCGGGATCTAGCGGCTTTTGCTAGTGATTTCCGGCTGGATTGCGCTCGTCAACGTATGGTCACTCACTGTTATTGTAACTGTCCGATAATGATGCATCCTGCGTACCGTGATGGTGGCCCGACGTCTGTCCCAGTAACAGATTCCTCGCTTGTTGTCGTCCTGTAACATAGGAGAGAATGCAGAGCATTAAAGATCAGAATCTGTCAATTATCAATTGTAAATGCAAGTTAAAGTGACGGATCTCATTCCTTTATCTATCAATAAACGGTGCGAATCCACCGAAACTTATGCTGCATATTTCCGGTAAGAAGTATCGGAAAACTACTTCGCGTATCCGGTTATTTCAGGTATTATCAAAAGTAAATTAAATTCTGCATGTCTCGATTGTTTACATGGTGGTTGTCATGAGAACGATGTATCAAACGTGAAACAGCATCGGGAATCGTAGAGCATACTAAAGTGAAATATATCGAAAATCCGATTAAATCAGAAACGTTCATGAATCAGTTTAATCGAAATCAATTAAATAGAACCTATGATTTCAAGTACTCTGGTATCATTCGCGAATTCGGATAACAGACGAGTACTCAGATACGTAGAGAATATGTGCTGTACCGCTTACACCGTACAGTATTCGCGCACACAATAAATTCGATATCTATTCCAAAAGATTTGTATGTAAAATCGAAAAATTGAAGATCCGCGATTTTAATTTCACGATATTTTACATTCCATGAAAATGCATAAGCAAACCATCATACTGTTGCGCCATAGATAAGATTGAAAAGATTGATAGTTTAGCTGAGAATATTTGTAGTACTCATACTGCGGCGAGTTGCCACGCTAGCGAGACAAAACGATACATATTAGCGACATTTTGTCCGCGACGTGTCACTTTGAAATAGTCTCATAGATTTATATGCTAGATGATGCATCGAAGTGACAAGTGACACACGATGAACACGGGCATGCGTCGCCAGGAACATCGTTTACGCCGTTCAGAAGCGACGCATGTCACTTTGGAAGCACGCTTGCTACACCAGGCGTTTACTTCCTTATTACATTGAATGAAATAATCATGAGAATGCATTAATATATTATCAGGCATTGTTATAAAAATCACGTTACGAAAAATTATATTATGCATAGATTATAATTTTAAAAAATCAAGAGAGAGTTAAAAAAATTATTTTCAGAAGAAGCTTCGAATCTGCGTGTGAAATAGAACATAAATGCGAGAAATTTAATTACAACTTTAAATTACACACCAAAATTGATTAAAAATTTACAATACGGATGATAAAAAATATTTACAGATCGATAAAAAATATTTAGTAAGCAAAGCGATTCATTCTGCCAGTAAAAAAAATCATTTTTGTAACGAAAGCTTCGTAATATAGTTGCAGAATTTTTGTGAATCGGGGGTAAAAGTTACGAAATTCAGTGCATATCTGATCTCACCATGCGTGATCGCTTTTTTACAATCGTCCACTGTGCATTGTAAGGGTAGGATGTCCAATGACTGCAACGGCATCCGAGCCGAGTCCTGACGAGTGTGAAATTACAGCGCGTTTAAAATGCCTCGTGGCGTTTTTTGATACGGTTGAAAGATAAATCGGGCACTCTTCGTCCCGCGCAGCCATCAAATCCATCGATAATAAAAGCGAATAGTAATACAAGAGCCTCTACAGTACTTTTATTTTCGGATCAGTGCAAAGCTTTAAACTTATTGATAATAGATATATTCAGTTATTTTATCCGGCTATATTGCATATTGCATCATTCACTCTTGTAATGTTGCAATTGTAAAGAAATATTTATTTCTTTATCGTACCAACTTACACTAATTATATTTTTAATATGCGTAATTTCTTTAATTTTTTTTGTAAGCAAAATGGGAGAGATAGAACTGTATGGTAGAAAATAAAAAATTCTAAATTTATTACTTTTTGAGAGTGCTTAAAAAATTGCAGAAAAAAATGTAGATATTTTGTTATTTTAAAACATATACTGTTTGCTACTTGACTCTAACATTGGTAAAATTGACGTGACAAATATGTAATAAGTATATTTCTGTCGTCGTTTTTATTTCTTCTTTTAGTATATTCAGATACGCCATATATCCATTAACGGATAGGAGGATTATACATTCTATCCAGGATTAAACAGTTTACTTGACTGCCTTAATTAAACGAAAAACACATAAACCATCACTGCATCGTGCATATTTGTAGTATAGATTAGTGTGTGCGAATTGTCGCGAATTTTGTGCATGGCAACGCATGATAGTGTTATAATATTTTCCAGTGAATTCGAGGTGACGAAACTATCTAAACTTGAAGATTATGACAACCGTTTGTCGCGAGTTTAACGATGTTCAGTGACGGCGCTTCTCCGATAGTTATATAACTTCGTGCGTCTCATAAATGCGAGCCACGGAGCAACTTGAGGATAATTACATTCGCAGATGACAGAGGGTAAAATTACTTGCATTATGAGCAGGAGAGTAGTAGATTACACGAGGGAAATGTAAATTTGTAAAAGCCAATATATACGCATGTTTTGTATCTTCTACGCAAGTGAAAATTTGAAATTATAATTACGAGAGCAGTGTGAGTATCTGCGCCAAGCGCCGTGATAAACTAACTGGGACCATCGATGCGTCGAAGCATTTTGTTTTCGTACAAATTTGGTTTTGTATAGAAAGTTGACGATAATTCCTATGGGATTATCTTACAATAAATCGTGATTTTCTTGCAATATATATTATATTAAAACTTTATTCATTTTTATCGTTATATGTAAATCCTGAACAGTTTATATTATATTACGCATAAAACCTACCGTTTTATGTATAACTCAACACAATAGAAATCAAAGCAACAGTCTCTGCATTCTTTTGTACTTTGCGCAATTTCTGTGGTATCTTTGCAATTTTCTTGCATTTTAAAATGTTTTGTTACATTCAAATTCTCTCTCTCTCTC